TTAATTCGGCTGTAGTGTCCTTCGTTACCCTTTGGAACTTAGTTTGGTCAGAGAGTATGATGTTCATTTTCGCCAGATATTCGTCTTTTTTAAGAATGACATATATTGGCGACTTGTCACCTCTCCTGACAACTATCTCCTTGTTCTCACGAAGGCTTTTAGCTGCCGCTCTAAGCTCGGGGGACAGTATGGTGCTTCTGTAGTTGCCTCGATTCTTTCCTCCTTCTGCAATAAGTTCTGCTTGTAAGGTATCTTTGGTAGTGACCTTCTTTAGTGTCTCGAGGTCGAATATGTCGTCCAACAGAATTTCCAACTCTACTTTCCGGGCCATTTCACTCGGTCTGGACATAACATGACAGTTTATGCCCAGATTTAGGAGAGTGACTTGGTCCTCAGTGAGGTTAATTCCTGCAAGGTTCAGGAAGCCATCTCTTGGTCGTGGAATTGCCATAGGTCCTCCATATAATGTTGTTAGTTTCTTGATAATCCTTGTTTCAGTGCTGAGGTGATGTTGGTCTGTGAGGATGTCGAGGTGTTGTTCAATGCGGGTACGGATACTATGGTCGATGTTGCTATTTCTCCACTCGTTTGTAGCTCAAATGTAATGCCACATCACCCTTCCCACCTCACTCAAATGTAGATATAAAATCAGGGAAACGCAAGTTCTAATCAGTTGTGTATTTGTGAAGTCTTTGAAAATGTAATAAGTTTTACGAAACGCGCCCGTGTCGCGTCAGACTAGAAATAAAAATGAATTTTGGAGAAGTGATTTTTGATTTACCTCCAACAGTGAAGCATAATGTACGAAAGATTGAGAAAATTCGTGTTAGAATTATTAATCTTACTTTTTCGGTCATATTTAATAAAATATGTCTACAGGAAAGACTGCTACCAAAATATACTAATGTTAAAGTGCACGACCCAGCAGCAAGGAATCAAGCCTTCATGATAAAATATCGCCAGGATCTGATTCGTGATCAGATATACAAGGCAGAGAATGAAATCAAAGACAAAAAAACGCAACTACTTCATGCTACAAACGAGTGGAGAAATAGCAACATCGACCATAGTATCCGTACCCGCATTGAACAACACCTCGACATCCTCACAGACCAACATCACCTCAGCACTGAAACAAGGATTATCAAGAAACTAACAACATTATATGGAGGACCTATGGCAATTCCACGACCAAGAGATGGCTTCCTGAACCTTGCAGGAATTAACCTCACTGAGGACCAAGTCACTCTCCTAAATCTGGGCATAAACTGTCATGTTATGTCCAGACCGAGTGAAATGGCCCGGAAAGTGGAGTTGGAAATTCTGTTGGACGACATATTCGACCTCGAGACACAAAAGAAGGTCACTACCAAAGATACCTTACAAGCAGAACTTATTGCAGAAGGAGGAAAGAATCGAGGCAACTACAGAAGCACCATACTGTCCCCCGAGCTTAGAGCGGCAGCTAAAAGCCTTCGTGAGAACAAGGAGATAGTTGTCAGGAGAGGTGACAAGTCGCCAATATATGTCATTCTTAAAAAAGACGAATATCTGGCGAAAATGAACATCATACTCTCTGACCAAACTAAGTTCCAAAGGGTAACGAAGGACACTACAGCCGAATTAAAAGCAAAGGTCAACAAACTGATCGAAACTGTGAACGCCAAGAAATCCGGACTCCACCTGCCAAAGATCATTGGGGAATATAAACCTGGATATGCGTATGGAAATGTCAAGACGCACAAGCCTGGAAACCCACTTCGGCCAATCATTAGCCAGATACCCACACCCACGTACAGATTGGCGAAGCGACTCAACGGCCTGCTGACTCCTTATGTTCCTTGCGCCTTCAGCCTGAAGTCTCCAAAGGAATTTGTGGACTTACTGCGGGGCGCACGGGCCACAGGGATAAGAGCCTCGTTGGACGTAGAATCGCTGTTTACCAACGTACCTGTGGACGAGACAATCGGAATGATAGCCGACAGAGTGTATCGTGATCCAGCCTGTACTCCTCTTGACATGCCAGAAAGTATTCTGAGGAAACTACTCCAAGCTTGTACTAAAGAGGCACCCTTCTTGAGCCCGGATGGGCACATGTATAAGCAAGTAGATGGGGTCGCTATGGGTTCTCCCCTAGGTGTCCTGTTTGCAAACTTCTACATGGGTACCATCGAGCAAAAAGTCTTAGTCGACATGAACTTGAAACCGGCCATATACTGCAGGTATGTTGACGACATTTTTACACAGGTACCTGATGTCAGACATCTGCAGGAGCTGAAGGAGGCATTTGAGCAGAGTTCCGTGCTGCGTTTCACTTACGAGACGGAAAAGGATGGGAAGCTGCCTTTTCTAGATGTAACAGTCATGGAAAAGGGCGGAGGTTTCCACACTGCAGTCTACACAAAGGAAACAAACATAGGAATGTGCCTAAATGCCAACAGCGACTGCCCTGACAGGTACAAGAGGAGTGTTGTTAACGCATACGTCGACCGTGCTCTCAGCCACAGCTCAGAATGGAAGCAAGTCGACGAAGAACTCTGTAGGGTAAGGCAGGTTCTAGTCAATAACGGCTTCTCCAATGGTTTCATCGAAGACATCATAAGAAGGAAAGTGAAAAGCCATGCAACCTCCGAAGAGACAACTAACACAACACCTATACCCCCTATTAGACTATTTTACAGGAACTTCTTTTCCACAGCTCATAAAACAGAGGAAAGGGTCCTGAAAGATATTGTTAATAGAAACGTTATCCCTACAGACAAAAATCAGAGGATACAACTGACGATTTACTATAAAACCAGAAAAACGGCCAGCCTACTCATGAGAAACTCTCCAGACACGAAACAGAACGCTTTAAAAGAGACTAACGTCGTCTATGCCTTCAAATGCCCACTTGGGGACTGTAAGCTCCAAAAAACCCAGTATATAGGCAAGACAACAACATCTCTTTCTAGGCGTTTAACGATGCATAAACAACAGGGCTCCATTAAGGAACATATAATCTCTTCCCATAACCAAACCATCGCCAGAGAAATCCTAGTAAACAACACAGAAATCATCGATAGATACAGCGATAGCAGGCGGCTCGACGTTTGCGAGGCACTACACATCAAGAAGTCAACACCAGCAATCAACAGCCAATTATTGCACAACTATATTCTACCCACCTCAAGACTCCGCTCCAATATAGAAGCATCAAGAAATATGGACCAATAGGCTTTCTACAAACACTTCTATTCAATATCCATTGTTTCGTGTTCTGTCTTGTGTTGATACTTTTAATACCCTATTAATATCCTCTAATGCCACATCATCCTTCCCACCTTACTCAAATGTAATGCCACATCACCCTTCCCACCTCACTCAAATGTAGATATAAAATCAGGGAAACGCAAGTTCTAATCAGTTGTGTATTTGTGAAGTCTTTGAAAATGTAATAAGTTTTACGAAACGCGCCCGTGTCGCGTCAGACTAGAAATAAAAATGAATTTTGGAGAAGTGATTTTTTATTTACCTCCAACAGTGAAGCATAATGTACGAAAGATTGAGAAAATTCGTGTTAGAATTATTAATCTTACTTTTTCGGTCATATTTAATAAATATATATATATATATATATATATATATATATATATATATATATATATATATATATATATATATATATATATATATATATATATATATATATATATATATAATATATATATGGTAGGGTTGGTTAGGTTCGGTCATATATCTACGTTAATTTTAACTCCAATAAAAAAAATTTAGCTCATATATAATGAAATGGGTAGCTTTATCATTTCATAAGAATAAAATTAGAGAAAATATATTAATTCAGGAAAACATGGCTTATTAGGCAAATCGGGCCATGCATAGTAGGCCGAGAAGTGCATTCTGGCTACTAGGTACGACATTATATATATATATATATATATATATGGACCATATATATATATATATATATATATATATATATATGTCGTGCCTAGTAGCCAGAACACACTTCTCAGCCAACTATGCAAGGCCCAATTTGCCTAATAAGCCAAGTTTTCATGAATTAATTGTTTTTCGACTACCTAACCTACCTAACCTAACCTAACCTAACTTTTTCGGCTACCTAACCTAACCTAACCTATAAAGATAGGTTAGGTTAGGTTAGGTAGGGTTGGTTAGGTTCGGTCATATATCTACGTTAATTTTAACTCCAATAAAAAAAAATTGACCTCATACATAATGAAATGGGTAGCTTTATCATTTCATAAGAAAAAAATTAGAAAAAATATATTAATTCAGGAAAACTTGGCTTATTAGGCAAATCGGGCCTTGCATAGTAGGCCGAGAAGTGCATTCTGGCTACTAGGTACGACATATATATATATATATATATATATATATATATATATATATATATATATATATATATATATATATATATAGGCCAATCGGCTCCCAGCATGGAGCCCGTATCTTGTCAAGCAAGACAAGGCTGGAAAAAGTTCAGAGGTATGCCACTACGCTAGTCCCAGTACTAAGAGGCATGAGTTATGAGGAAAGGCTGCGTGAACTGCACCGCACGTCGCTGGAAGACAGAAAAAACTCGGGAAGACATGATCACCACATACATAATTCTCAGGGGAATTGACAGGGTAGACAAGGATGGATTATTTAACAAGAGTGGTACACTCACAAAAGGACACAAGTGGAGACTTAGTTCCCAAATATGCCACAGACACATTAGAAAGAAGAGTAGTTAGCATATGGCATACACTAGGAAGTGATGCCGCGGAGGCTGACTCCAGACACAGTTTCAAGTGTAGATATGAGAGAGCTCGAGAAGCTCAGGAATCTATACACTTGTAGAATGGCGGTTGAGAGGCGGGACCAAAGAACCTAAGCTCAACCCCCGTAAGTACAACTAGGCGAGTACTAGCATCGTGACCACCACACGACTAGTAGCTTTACCGCTGAGCATAACGTAACACTCTCTCCCACAGGAAGTGCTACCTACACTGGGGGGAGGTGATGGACCTTCTCGCGCTCATCAATGGAGCCGTCAACTTCCTCCTCTACTATATCATGTCTCATCAGTTCCGGGTTACCTTCCGCTCGCTCCTATCTCCACCTCAGCCCGTCAACTTGTCACCACGGCTTCCGGGCGAGACAGTTTCCACTCAGCTCTAGGTGAAAGTTCGGCCCACAGCTGATAAAAGCCACATAACGCGTTGTTTACCGTAGTTAAGGATGATGTACGCTCCGTCACCTGAATGAGGCTTATACTGCATTGTGTGTGGTACAGACTCAGTCTACCGCAGTGTTTTTAGGAGCTATATTGCTAGATTGTAGAGGCCTTCGCTATATTGTTGCTATTCCTAATAAGTAATAGGGATAGAATCTTGGAACCTCCACCTCATCATCTTGTCCAAGATTCTGGCCTGGTGGCATCTTCTAGTAAGTATCCCTCAATACTGGAATCTTAGCTGTTGCTCGTTTAGCCCCACTTGTTTGGAAGTGGTTAATTGGTACCACTTGGCCACCAACTTTTTGTACCTGTACCACATCATTGATCCATCGTTCATCCACCAGTGAACAAAATTCAGCATTCTTCGATACTGTGTTTCATCTCGTACAACATTTATATAATGGTTTGTTTCTTTTTCTTTTTCCTCGCCATTCTTCTTTTCCCCCCTATTTCTCCTCCAGTAGTCACCGGAAGATGCTTACGTAAATTGTTCCGAAATCTTAAAAAATTGAGGCGATAAATATTTTAGTTGACAGTTGGAAGCCGCTGGTGACGATGCTGTTGACGCTGAGAGGCGGTCACTAGCAGGGATACCATTAGTAACTGGCAGTCCTATGGAAACCCCTAGATTCATGTGTGTTCCATGTTGAGCCAATATATGCTTCATGTGGACCCCATGTGTGTTCCATGTGGAGCCAAAATATGCTTTATGTGGAGCCAATATATACTTCATGTGGACCCCATGTGTGTTCCATGTGGAGCCAAAATATGCTTCATGTGGAGCCAATATATACTTCATGTGGACCCCATGTGTGTTCCATGTGGAGCCAATATATGCTTCATGTGGAGCCAAAATATGCGTCATGTGGAGCCAATATATACTTCATGTGGACCCAATGTGTGTTCCATGTGCAGCCAATATATGCTTCATGTGGAGCCAATATATACTTCATGTGGACCCAATGTGTGTTCCATGTGGAGCCAATATATGCTTCATGTGGAGCCAGTATATGCGTCATGTGGAGCCAATATATGCTTCATGTGGAGCCAATACATGCGTCATGTGGAGCCAATATATGCGTCATGTGGAGCCAATATATGCGTCATGTGGAGCCAATATATGCTTCATGTGGAGTCAATATATGCTTCATGTGGAGCCAATATATGCTTCATGTGGAGCCAATACACGCGTCATGTGGAGCCAATATATGCGTCATGTGGAGCCAATATATGTGTCATGTGGAGCCAATATATGCGTCATGTGGAGCCAATATATGCTTCATGTGGAGTCAATATATGTTTCATGTGGAGCCAATATATGCTTCATGTGGAGCCAATATATGCTTCATGTGGAGCCAATACATGCGTCATGTGGAGCCAATATATGCGTCATGTGGAGCCAATATATGCTTCATGTGGAGCCAATATATGCGTCATGTGGAGCCAATACATGCGTCATGTGGAGCCAATATATGCGTCATGTGGAGCCAATATATGCTTCATGTGGAGTCAATATATGTTTCATGTGGAGCCAATATATGCTTCATGTGGAGCCAATATATGCTTCATGTGGAGCCATTATATGCGTCATGTGGAGCCAATATATGCTTCATGTGGAGTCAATATATGTTTCATGTGGAGCCAATATATGCTTCATGTGGAGCCAATATATGCTTCATGTGGAGCCAATACATGCGTCATGTGGAGCCAATATATGCGTCATGTGGAGCCAATATATGCTTCATGTGGAGTCAATATATGCTTTATGTGGAGCCAATATATACTTCATGTGGAGCCAATATATGCTTCATGTGGAGTCAATATATGCTTCATGTGTGGCCCATGTGTGTTCCATGTAAAACCAATATATGCTGCATGTGGAGCCAATGTGTGTGTTCTACGTGGAGCCAGTAGATGCTTCTTGTGGAGCTCATATGTATATGGAACAAATATATAATGCAAGTGGAGCTCAAGTGTATTCCATGTGGAGCCAATATATGCTTCATGTGGAGGCAATATATGCATCATGTGGAGCCCCATATGTGTTCCATGTTATGCAAATATGTTCCATGTGGTGCATATATGTTCCATGTGGAGCATATATGTTCCATGTGGAGCATATATGTTCCATGTGGAGCATATGATAATATTAGTCCTATATGGGTTCCAAGGTCAATATGAGTTCCACGTGGAACCAATGTTAATTCCACGTATAGTCCATATTTGTTCTATAAGCCCAGGTGTGTTCCTTGTGAGGTTCATGTGGAGCCCAGGTGTGTTCCTTGTGAGGCCCATGTGGAGCCCAGGTGTGTTCCTTGTGAGGTCCATGTGGAGCCCAGGTGTGTTCCTTGTGAGGTTCAGGTGGACCCCAGGTGTGTTCCTTGTGAGGTCCATGTGGAGCCCAGGTGTGTTCCTTGTGAGGTCCATGTGGAGCCCAGGTGTGTTCCTTGTGAGGTCCATGTGGAGCCCAGGTGTGCTCCTTGTGAGGTCCATGTGGAGCCCAGGTGTGTTCCTTGTGAGGTCCATGTGGAGCCCAGGTGTGTTCCTTGTGAGGTCCATGTGGAGCCCAGGTGTGTTCCTTGTGAGGTCCATGTGGAGCCCAGGTGTGCTCCTTATGAGGTCCATGTGGAGCCCAGGTGTGTTCCTTGTGAGGTCCATGTGGAGCCCAGGTGTGTTCCTTGTGAGGTCCATGTGGAGCCCAGGTGTGTTCCTTGTTAGGTCCATGTGGAGCCCAGGTGTGTTCCTTGTGAGGCCCATGTGGAGCCCAGGTGTGTTCCTTGTGACGCAAATATGTGCTTCATGTGGGAACCATAATGTGTTCAGTGTGAAGTCAATGAGTATTCCATGTGGAGATAATGTGTGTTCCATGTGGATCCAATAAATGTTCTTGCTGGAGACCATATATGTTCCATGTGTATGCAATATATATTCCATATGGAGCAAATAAATGGTCCATGTGAGCCAATATGAGTTCCATGTGGAACCAATATGTGTTCTATGAGGAGTCAATATGTGTTATGTGTGTTCCATATGGAGCTCATGTATGTTACATGTGGAACCAATATGCGTTCCATGTGTAGCCTATATATGTTCCATGTGGAGCATATGTGGAGCCAATATGTGTTCTATGTGAAGCCAATTTGTTCAATATGGAGCTAATATGGGTTCCATTCGGTGTCAATATGATTTCCATGTCGAGCCAATTTGTGTTCCGTATGGAGCCAATATGTGTTTCACATGGAATGTGTGTTCCATGTGGAGTCAATATGTGTTCCATTTGGTACCAATAGGTGTTTTATGTGGTACCTATATGTGTTCCATGTTGAACCAATATGTTTTCTATACGAAGCCCATATATATGTGTTCCATATAAAGCCAGTAGGTTTTCAATGTAGAAAAAAATATGTGATCCATGTTGAGCTAATATTTGTGTGTTTCATGTGAACATACAGCCCATTCTCCTGTTTTGGTAGTACTTATAGTGACGATGAGGACCACAGTACATATACCGACGTTCAACACAACTAGAAAGTAGAAATCGGTACTATAGAATTTGGAAAGATCGGAAAAGATTTTCTATTTATATGGCAAAGACGAATTAAACTAAACTAACCTAACCTGTCTAGGCCTAATACATGCTACCCGTGGCCTAATATAGTACATATGTGTGCCAGACTAGGCCTAGGACTATTTAATTTTTTTTAGCCTATTTCTTCGGACTCTTATGAAGTGAATAGTACAAAATTATGCTATCTAATTCCTTAGTACGTCAATGTTTGTACTATGGTGCACAGTTACAAAAGTACTATCAAAACAGGAAGATAGGTAGGAAAATATGCATTCCATGTGGAGCCAATATGTGTGCCATGTATAACCAACATAGGATCCATGAGGATCTAATATGTGTTTCATGTGAAGACAATATTTTCCATGTGGAGCCAATGTATGTTTCTTGTGGACTATATATGCGTTCCATGTGGAGCCAATGTGTTCAATGTTGAACCCATATGTGTTTAATGCTGAGCCAATGTGTGTTCAATGTGGGGCACATGTGTGTTCCATGTGGAGCAAATATTCGTTCCGTGTGAAAATGATATGAATTCCTTGTGGGGCTCCCGTAATTGTTCGAGTTTGAGCCAAAATGTCTTCCATGTGGAACAACAATGTGTTATATATGGAGCCAACATATGTTCCATATGGAGCCCATATGTATTCCAAGTGGAGCCAATGTGTGTTTCATGTGAAAACAATATGTATTTTATGTGGAACTAATATGTGTTCCATTTGGAGCCGATATGTGTTGCATACTGAACGAATGCGTTTCATGTAGGGCCCATATGTGTTCCATGTGAAGCTAATATGTATTTCATGTGCAACCAATATATGTTCCAATTAGAGCCCATGTGTATTCCTTGTGGAGCCAGTATGTGTTCCATGTGGAACAAATATTGTTGTGTGTGGAACCCATATATGTTCCAAGTGGGTATCATATATGTTCCAAGTGGATATCATATGTGTTCCACGTGGAACCAATGTGTGTTCCATGTGGAGCAAATATGTGTTCCATGTGGAGCAAATATGTGTTCCATGTGGAGCCAAATATATGTTCCATGTGGAGCCAATACGTACTTCATGTGAAGACAACGTGTTCCATGTGGATAAAGTTTTATTTCATGTGGATCACATGTGTGTCCTATGTATAGTCAATATGTGTATCGTGTGGATCGGATCACTTGTGCGTTCCATGTGGATCTCATGTATGTGTTCCGTGCGGAGCCTTGCTCTGTCTAGCCAAACAAACTCCAAGGCAACGATCAGGAGAAACGAACAATAAACAACTTAGAGAGTCATTACTGGAAACTGGAATCCAGTGCCTCGCTCTTGTCTCGATCACTACCTGGCCCATTGGCGTCGATCTAAAGTAAATACCTTCAACGGAGAACATCTCGTTGACAGTATGTAATACGGTGTCTCCAGCATCCCTAGTAGGGATTTTCTAAAATCCCTACTAGGGGGCAAAGACTTGTAAATGCTAGTGCCAAAACACAAAACTCTTTGTGTTTGATATTTCCATCTACAACAGGTCAAATCATCACATAGGAGTCATGACAGGAATAACGGTTATTCGCTAAATGGAAAACGTTAATGGACGATCGTCAATTTAAATTTTAAATCGAACTTCAGTGCGAGGACTGTTTTACTAAAAGTTCATCCAAAAGAAAATTCTGAAAGCACTGAAGACATTTGAACGATCAATATTTATAGTTTGTTTTAAACGTAATACATGAACTAAGAAGTTCCTGATTCGATCACATGCTTTTCTTTGGCAATGTGTGCAATGATTTCACTTATTGGCTACCTAAAAAAAAAAGATGTTTATGTCCGGAAACTTTAACTACCATTTGGTCAGAGCCTGTAAAGAAATAGATAAATGATCTAAACTGTTAAATTAAACAAATAAGAGAGCCGTGGATAAAGAAAAATGTGGATTAATTATGCGCTATCATTAAAAAGAAACATTGTGTCAACGATCTGGTCTTGAAGGCACTGACTCTTTCCTGGAATGTTGACAGTGACATACTTTTATATTTAGGTTGCAGAGAACAAGAACACTTTCCTTTTAGGTTAGGAAGACAAAAGTACTATTCCTTTAGCTGAGAGCAGACAAGAAATCTTTCCCTTTAGGTTAGAGAAGACAAAAGTATTTCGCTCCGATAAGGGCATAAAGCAAGACAAATATGGGTGCCAACAGTAGCCTGCGCACCAATGCGACCATCAGTAAGCACAAGAGTAAATAGTGCTATCATCAGCAACATTGATGGTGCCTATTTGAATACTCTCTGCTATTAGTGGCCCTAGAGTGGGCCATTAATTGTTGTACTTTGTAGGATCTACTGCAGCAGCAACTGAACAACCACTAGGGCAGACGGAAGCATTAACATCACTGCCACCACCGCTGTCACCAGTAATAGTACAGTAATGCATCTCAGCTTGATTGACCTATGGCCTCTATGCATCCCTTGATAGTTTTATATTACTGCTCTCTGGAGCAGATACTTCGCTACATCGGACCCTATCACTTGTTATAGCGACTGTGATCGCGCGGTTTTGAGCACAATGTACTTTTGTTTACACTGTGGTATACAATCGTGGGTTGAATTTGAAACCAATGTTATCATATGCATACAACTTATTTTGTACATTAATTATAACAAAAATTATTATATGGTATATATAAAATATATAGTATAAAGAAAGCGCATTTTTTTGCTTCGTAAATTCTTGTATTATATATGTATGATTATACACTTGCGTGTTTAGCTTTTAAGTAACGGGAAAAGACAGCGCTGTTGGGGGAGACGTTATTACTCTTCTGGCCTTCCAAGCCCTCTTTTAAGGATACAGTGCCCTTTAAAACACCCCTAACCTACTTCATAAACCCTTTTCTCCTTCAAAGATTTCTCTCCTACTTCAAGGACCCCCTATGACTTCTTCAAGGAGCCTTCCCTTTTTCAAAGACCTTTCTCTTTTTCCGAGAATTCTTTCCATATTTCGAGGACCCCTCTCGTTCTTCATGGGGGTATCTCCCCACTACTTCAAGAAACCTCCGCTTCTTAGATGAGGGTTCTCATCTAAGAGAACTTAGATGAGAACTCCCTTCTCCGGTTCACTTTCCCTATTTTAATAACCCTTTCAATCTTCAGAGACCCATTCCTCTCCCTCTAAGAACACCTCTCCCCTTCCTTAAACGCAACTCTCTTACATCAAAACCCCAACCCCCCTTAAAGACTCCTTCCCCTACTTTAAAGACCTTTCCCCCACATTAAAAACCAAACCCCCAACTATAAAGTTCCCCAAATAACCTTTCCTTCCTCCAGAAGGATCCTCTACTACATCAAGGACCCTTGCCCCACTTCAAGGATCATTCCGCTACTTCAAGGCTTAACCTAAAGGACCCCTCACCTGACTTTGTCCCTGAGCCCCCAAGGTCACACAGGTGAGGTTAAGGGTCAACTGTGGTTTGCTACTGAGAGTCGACAGCACTATACCTAACCCGCAACTCAAACTAGTATTCAGTACAGTAAGAAAAAGATCAAGCAGTCCAGAAGGCATTTTTAGAATTAGTTCGTGTTATTTCATGTGCTT